CTATGAGTCGGTTCCGACTCAATGGCCCCTGACAACAACCACAGGGTCACTATGAGTCGGTACTGACTCGATGGCCCCTGAATACAACAGCAGCCACCATGAATGGATGGAGCAGAGAAGGTGTCCCCACGAGCTGTGTTGTAAATCACACTGATTGTAAAGGAGACCGTATTGTCTGTCTCCCTGCAGGTCCCGGGTCAACTCTAAAACACTGATGCAGAACACAAGGATCGTGGCAGAGGCCCTGACACGAGTCATCTATAACTTGACAGAAAAGGTGAGCCCCGGGCCCAGGACCCCCTCCCCACCAGCCAGCCGTCAGCCAGCAGAACCCTGGGCTTAGACATCCCGTCTTTCCACAGGGGACCCCGCCAGACATGCCTGTCTTCACCGAGCAGATGGTAAGGGGCCACACGGGGGCAGGAGAGGGCCAGAGGCAGGTGAGCTGAGCTGGAGGACAGTAGGGCAGATGGGGCAAGGAAGGACGGAGGGGTTGGGATGTGAGGCTGGAGGGGACCTGCAGACCAGGCTCGGGGAGGGGAGCAGGGGGCCGGATTAGGGCACCCCATGGGACTGGAGCAGAGTAGGGTGTTGGGGGACCCCCTTGGGAGGGGACGGTGACTTGAGGGGTGGGGTCAGTGACACGTATGTCCCTGCAGCAGGTCCAGCAGGAGCAGCTGGACTCGGTGATGGACTGGCTGGCCCAGCAGCCACGGGCGGCCCAGCTGGTGGACAAGGATGGCACTTTCCTTAACACCTTGGAGCACTACCTGAGCCGCTACCTGAAGGACGTGAAGCAGCACCACGTCAAGGCCGACAAGAGGTGCGGCCTCCCCTTCCCCGCCGCCAGCGAGCTGGGTCTCCCAGCAGAAATAGAACCTACCAGGAAAGGAGCGAGCTCTCCTTCCAGTTGGCGTTTCAGATTAATGTTGTTATGTGCCATCAAGTCAGTTCTGACTTCTAGCCACCCAGTATAGGGTTTCTGAGGAGCAGCTGGTAGGTTTGAACTGCTAACCTTGTGGTTCGTAGCCCAATGCTTCTCCGATACCAGGAGTTGGTTAATAGTGTGTCCCAGATCTTGCACAAGCTGTACTTACACTAGAGCCCTGAGGGCCAGCAGTTCGAAGCCCCCAGCCTCCACGGTAGGAGGTGGAGCCAGTCGGTTTCCATAGCGATGAGGCTTCTCTGTCCTCCAGGGTCAGATGGAGCAGCGGCAGTGGTTTTGGTTTTGGTTTTCGATTATCCTGAAAATGTGCTCATTGTTAATGTGAGATTCACACGGACTGACAACCCCCCCACCCCCAACGCCCCCACCGGCTGCGATCCTCGGGCTCTTTTCTCCTGAGGCTCCCAAGCTCCCCATTTGGGCCACTCAAGCCCCTCAGGACCTTTGTGGGAAGAGAGGTGCTCCCCCCACCTCACATCCACAGGCAGGAAACATCCTCTGAGATTACCCAGTATCCCCCTTCTCCCCCCCCCCCCCCCCCCCCCCCCCCGCTGGCTTTTCCCTACCGTCACCTCAAGAGACAGAGGTCTTGGGCAACAAACGAAACCAAGACTCGAACCCACAGCCACAGAGCTGCAGTCTCTGGTTCCTAGGCCTGAAGCCACCCACCCTCTACAGGCAAAGACACATACACACACACACCCCAACAAGCAGGCTGTCTGCGGCCACCATAGGACAAGCTCAGGGTGGGGGTGACCCCTGACAGTGTGCTCTCTCCCCTAGGGACCCCGAGTTTGTCTTCTACGACCAGCTGAAGCAGGTGATGAACGCGTACAGGTGAGTGGCCAGCAGTGGCCCAGGCTTCCCTGGACCCGGAGTCCATGTGTGAGAGTGGACTGCCCCGTCCATCCCCACGGGCTCTGACTTCAGACACCACCTGCAAACCCAGAGGCTCAGACCCGCCCTCTAGAGGACAGAGGAGACATGTACAGGGTTTCTGTATGTCAGTCTAAATGGGAGAAAACAGCGTATCTGTCTCTCAAGGAGTGACTGGTGGGTTCAAACCGCCAACTTTTCAGATAGCAGCCAGGGAGGGGGTGCCTGGGGCAGGGTCCAGGAGGGAACGTGTCTCACTCCCTCTGTGGGTGTGTTACATCGGGGTGGCGGGGGGGTTGTCCCTTCTCCAGCCTCGTCACAACCCATGAACTGTCTGTTCCCTCTGCCCACCCAGGGTCAAGCCGGCCATCTTTGACCTGCTGCTGGCTGTCTGCATCGGCGCCTACCTCGGAATGACCTACACAGCCGTGCAGGTAAGCAGGTGGGCTAGGCGCTGGGGGCGAGAGGGACAGAGCCCTCCAGCCGTCACCCACCTGCCATCCCTCTCTCCCTCCTGCCGGGTTCAGCACTTCGACCTCCTATACAAAACCATCCAGAGGGTACTCCTGAAGGCCAAGGCGCCGTGACCACGAAGCCCGAAGGCCAAGCCGCGAGGACACCCCACACCCGGGCAGATAGCCTGAGTCACACGGGTTCCCAGGTTGCTCTTCTGGACTTGGAGGGCACTTGACCTTTCCCTTTTCTCACCACCCCCTGAACTTCTGTGGAGGAGAAGCCTGGTGGAGGGCCGGGGCAGCAGTGGACCCCTGCCAGGACGGCCCCAGGCCTCCCAACTCCGAGGACACTGGCCTGGGACCCCGACCCTGCTGACCTGCGCCCCACAGGGCTCCGGGCCCTCTCGTCTCCTGCCTCCTCTTCTCATCCTTTCCTGTCAAGTTCCTGCTGATGGGGGCCCCAAGCTCGGCCACCCCCACCAGGGCCGTTCTCTCTCGGGGTCCAGGCGCTCCAGGCTGGACTGGACCCTCCTGACTCCCAGGGGGCTGCTCTGCTGAGACCCCGAGGAGGAAGTGGAGGCCCAGGAGCAGGGGACTGCAGATGGTACCTGCCAGGCCGGGCCGGAGTTGACCTCAGGGAGACCCACCCATTCATGAGCAATAGAATTCATACAGTCCTCCTCCCCCTAGTGGGACCTGCTCCAGGTTCTGATGGCCCAGCCACAGGCTGCCTGACTGGCCGCAGATCCTTACCCTGACAGCCCCTGGCTGCCCTGGGAGTTGGGGGCTGGAGAGGGGGACAGCCCTGCTTCCAGTCCAGCCAGTCCCTGTGTCTCCATGGCCGGGGCTCCAGCCCTCAGCCCTCCCAGAGCTGGCCGGCTGTCCCCACCTGGCCCTGCAGCCCCCCAGCACCCCTATCCCCACCATCTCTGCCTAGCCTGTGGTCACCTGCTGGACCCTGAAAAGGGGGTGAGGGTAAGGCCAGTGAGGACAGAGGTTCGCCCCTACCATGTCCCATGGGGGGCGGTCCTCAGAGCCTGTTCACCAAGCATCCCAGGCTGCACATGGGCCGGAACTGGCTCCCAGGCACAGTAGGTGGTTCCTCTGAGTTGTGGACACTGATGATGTCCCCCAGTGAGCAGCCCCTTCCTACCCGTCAGGCACTCATGACAATGCTGGTGGGGAGAGTGACCGTCCTGGGAGAGAAATAAAGCCATATTGAATGACTGACTGACTAGTGTCTAGCCTGGGGGTCTGGAGGATTTGCAGCCTGCGTCTGGTCCTGGGGTCTCCTGCCCACACCCTGCAGGGGGGCTCCACCTGTTCCTGAGCACCTGTCATCTGACAGTTCTCATCCCTCAGGCCTGTCCACTTGGAGCAATGACAGTTCCCACTGTGTGCCCCACCCTAGAGGGACAGGGGCATGTCCAGCAGGCCCTGGATGCTCTGTGTGGTGGTGCGGGCATGGTGGTTGTGGAAGGCTCCCTGGGAGAAGAGAGATTGCCATGTGGCAGACAAGGGCAGGAAGAACCTTCCTGCAGAGAGAACCAAGCTGTTACATCTGTGGGCTTTATTCTTTAAAACTCATGGGTTAACAGAAAATAAGAATTCACGTAGACCCTGAGGGAGCTTTTGAGTGAAATCAGAATGACAAGAATAATTAAGCCCTGTGGAGATTGGTGGGGAGGACAGTCTAGGCAGAGGGCACAGCCAGTGCAAAGACCCTGAGGCAGGACTGAGCCTTGCATGTTGGAAGAACAGCAAGGAGACCCTGTGGCTGGAGTAGAGTGAAAGTAGGAGGGGAGGGGCTTGCATCAGGTGCTCACGGCTGCCCTCTGGCTACTGCAGGTGGAACAGGCCTGGTGGGGGTGAGCACCAGGTGGGTATCTGGAGACAGTGGTTCAGGCAGAGGGCCTGGATGCTGGGGTACTGTTTGCATTTTCTCGGATAGAAGCCTCTGGGAGGGTCGTGGCCTCACTTGCAGTTTGGAAAGTTCCCCAAGAGCCCAAAGATGGCTGTGAAGATGAGATCAGATCATGTCTGGGCCAGGTGGACACCAGGACCCCAATGTCCCTGGGCATCTCTTAGGTTCCCCACCCACCCAGAAAGCAGCAAAGGAGCTGGCTAAGACGTCCTCCCCAAAGCATGGCACTCTACCAGCACCCCAAAGGAGGCTGTGGCCAGTGGCCTTCACCCAAGTCTTATCAACTCACGGAAACCCCTCGGGTGTCAGAACTGTTCCTGGGTTTTCAGCGGCTGATTTCTCAGTAGATCACCAGGTCTTCCAAGACACGCGCTGTCCTTGACATCACCTCACTGTTCATGTGCCACCAGGAGACCACTCACTGAAGAAGGGCTCGTCATTAGGTGTTGCAGAGCGAGCCGGTTCTGACTCAGCCACCCTGTATAGGGCTGTAACCTTAATAGAAACAGAAAACATCTTCCCCAGAGCAGCTGGTGGGTTTGAACTGCTGATGTTCTGGTTAGCAGTTCAGTGCCTACCCTGTAGCACCACCAGCTCTCCAAGGACAAGTGTGCTTGGTAAAGTGGAGAGCCAGTGAGAATTGAAGAAAACCTTCCATGAGACAGATTGACACAATGGCTGCATTCCAGCGATCAGGAAGACCGGACTGGGCAGCGTTTTGTTCTGTCCTAACAGCAAAAACCGAGCGCTCAGAGAATCCACTTGGAGGGATTCCACAGGCACACTTTTCTCCCCTCCACCAGCTGCGCCTCGGAAACCCTGTACAGGGACACTATGGATTGAAGTCGACTCGACAGCACTTAACAACTCTTCCCTGATGTGGCTGAGCTATGCCAGCCGCGCTGGGAATGCATTCCAGGGATGAGTGTCTCTTGGGCAACAAAACCTAGAATCCAGCCATTGAAGGTGACACCCAAGCCACCCTAAGCTGCTCTCCACCCTTCCCCGACCCCTACTTATTTTTGTGCAAAGAGGAGGAGGAAAGGACTAAAACATCTTTAGCTCACAGGGAGGTCAGCAGAGTTTTATATTTATTTTTAATGCCACTCACTTGGTCTTATCAGAGACCCACAGGGTTCTGAGCATCTTGCTCTGGTCTCCATGGAGACCGCAGCTGCCTCTGGGCCTGAGCTCCAGGGCTAGGCAGGGCCAAGGGGTGGAGTGTAGTAGAAGCCCTCCCAGCCCCTCATCCCTGCTTTGCTCTTCACCTAGCCCTGGCATCCTGCCCCTATCTGGGGGTGAGCAGGTGGCTGTCCATTATAACAACACTGTCCATTTAGTGAGGGCTAATTTTTTTTTTTTGTCCTGCAATCATCTTTATTCAGCAGACTTCACAGATATCGGGTGGTTGCTGCCTGTCCCACTTGTCCAGATCCTCTGGGATCCTCCCCAATCCTCCCTTTCAACAGTGGACTGGAGCAAGAGTTCTGGTTATCTTCTTGACAGAGGTCTTCCTCTTTGGCAATGGCCTCAGTCAAGCCCTGCAGGTTATCAAGCAGAGTGGAAAGGGACCTTTTTATGGGGTCCCTGGAGGAGGGTACCACTGCTGCAGATGAAGATGCTGGGGGAACAGGAAATGTACAAAGGCCTGGAGTTAGAAAACCAAAAGGGAAGAACATGCTCAGCTTTTCAAGCTGAAAGAACTGAAGAAAAAATTCAAGCCTCAAGTTTCAATATTGAAGGATTCTTTGGGCAAAATGGAGTCCTGCTGACCACAAGGTTGTTGGTTCAAACCCACCAGTTGCTCCTTGGAAATGCTATACAGGTTGCTATGAGTCAGAACTGACTCAATGGCACTTTAAACACCAACATGGGCAAAATATTGAATAATGCATAAAGCATCCAAGAAGATGGAATATATAGATTCACTTTACCAAATAGTTCAACCAACCATTTCAAGAGGTAACATGATCAAGAGCCAATGGTTCCCATGAACAAGGACATAGCCACAGAGGGCTAGAGCTGAGAGTGAAGCGTCCAGCTGATACGAAGTGAGGGGAGATGCACAAGAACACCCAAACTTGCAGAT